AAGTTGGCCCCGGTTTTCTTTTTGTTTTTGCATTAGATAGCTTTCAGCATATATAGACTAAATACACATAATTCCCCATAAGGGATGCTGGGATTGTAGAAGTTTTTCAGCTTTGAGCAGGATTTTGGTTTTCATAGGTTCTGTCTTAGACAGGTTTTACTTTACTCATAGACATACCAAGTCACTCTTTAATAAACCAGAGTTAGCATCTTGAGTCTCCAATGGAAGACCTATTTTTTAATTCCTTAATCTTTCTCATGAACCCTCTTCATTTTCCAGTACAATGCTTGAATTACTGAAACTATACCTGCAGTGGTCACACCTGTTCCAAGTGCAGAAGTATTGCAACCTCCCTGCTCCTACCCTTTATTCCTCTGCTTTTAAATCCACAGTAGTACAGTCAAACTCATTTGGTTATCAATATCTTAATCTCTTTCCAGAGAGATTTCTTGCTAGGCTAGGTGGCAGGGCATCTCCCTCCTGTAACAGGGCATAAAGTCTTTTCCCTAGAGGTCTGCCTTGAATTATGGCCATTGGGGGGGGGGGGGGGAAATCCCACATTACTTTGCTAGCACCCTTATTTACTAAACTAACTAGATTACTCTGTATCAGAACCTGCCCCCTCCATTCTTTCTTCTACTCAAGTTTTTTGATGTTGTCTGCAAGGTTGATCAATATTCATTTTGTGGTTTCTTCTTCTGGAAAAATCATGGACCAGTTCTTCAAGGAATCTATTACTAAGCACTTGGAGTAGGAGATGGTGATTAGGAACAGTCAGCATGGATTCATCAAAGGCAGGTTGTACCTGACCAGCCTGATTGCCTTCTATGAGATGACTGGCTCTGTTGATACAGGCATTCTAGTGGATTTTACATACCTTGACTTTAGCAAGGCTTTTGATATGGTCTCCCACAACATTCTCTCAGGCAAGCTAAGGAAGTCCAGGTTGGAGGAATGGACTGTAAGGTGGATAGAAAACTGGCTGGATCATCAGGCTCAGAGGGCAGTAGTCAATGGCTTGATGTCTAGTTGGTAGCTGGTACCAAGTGGAGTGCCTTAGGGGTCGTTCCTGAGGCCTGTCTTGTTCAACTTTTTCATGAGTGACCTGGAAGGTGGGATAGAGTGCACCGTCAGCAAGTTTGCAGATGATACCAAGCTGGAGGGAGTAGTAGATATGCTGGAGGGTCAGACTAGGTTCAGAGAGGCCTTGACAAATTGGAGGATCAGACCAAAAGAAATCTCAGGTTCAATAAGGAGAAGTGCAAAGTCCTGCATTTAGGACTGAACAATCCCATGCACTGGTACAGGCTGGGCACTGACTGGCTAAGCAGCAGCTCTGCAGAAAAGGACCTGGGGCTTACAGTGGACAATAAGCTGAATATGAGCCAACAGTGTGCCCTTGTTGCCAAGAAGGCTAGTGACATACTGGTCTGCTTTAGTAGGAGCATTGCTAGCAGATCTAGCGAAGTGATTCTTCCCCTCTATTTGGCACGGGTGAAGCCACATTTGGAGACTGTGTCCAGTTTTGGGCCCACTACTACATAAAGGATGTAGACAAATTGGAGAGAGTTCAGTGGAGGGACTTCTGAGGAGATGCTGAGGGAACTGGGCTTATTTAGTCTGCAGAAGAGAAGACTGAGGGGGGATTTAATAGCAGCCTTCAACTATCTGAAGAGTTGTTCCAAAGACTGTGCTCACTGGTGGCAGATAACAGAACAAGGAGCAATAGTCTCAAGTTGAGCAAGGGAAGTTTAGGTTGGATATTAAGAAAAACTTCCTCACTAGGAGAGGAGTAAAACAACGGAACAAATTACCTACAGAGGTTGTGGACTCTCCATCCTTGGAGACCTGACTGTAGACAAAGCCTTGGCTGGGATGGTTTAGCTGGGGATGGTCCTGCTCTGAGCAGGGGTTTGGACTAGGTGACCTCCTGAGGTGTCTTCCAATCCTAATCTTCTATGATTGAGAGGAGTATTAAATAGTATAGCACCAAGAACCACACCCTGCAGGACCCCACTAGAAATATACCATCTAAAGGATTCCTCATTTACCATTGTATTTTGAGACCAATCAGGCAGTTTTTATCTTTTAGTGTACTATGTCTTAATACCACTTGACACTCTTAATCAAAATATCATATGGCAGCAAGTCAAGTACTGTATATAAGTCTGCACACTGTACATCAATACTTACCTTTATCAAGCAAACATGTAATCACATTAAAATACCATTAAGATTTAAGATTTAAATTTGGTATTAAGATACCAAATTTGTCTGACTAGGGCTACTTTTGATAAATGTCAACCATCATATTCTTTATTAATCTCTGTGTTAGCCATAATTATCTTGGTTCCGTGGCAGTCCTATAATTGGTTGGGTCATCCTTTTAGTATCTTTAAATATTGGCACTATTTGAACTTTCTTTCAAGTGCTCTGGAATTTCTTTAGTGTTCCAAGAACAGATTGTTGATGTTGATTAACAAAGAGCTTCTCAGAGAGTTGCAATGTCAGTATTAGGATTTCTTTGATCCTTACATGCTTGAGAGAAAATAATTCTAAGCTTTGCAGATCATAGATTATTTCCTGTTTCCCTTGCCTTTCTTCCCTTTCCCATCACAATTACTATCTTATGATTAACATTAACAACTTCTTTCTTCCATTTGTCTATCTATCAAATAGCTATAATGTATATTACTACATTTTATACATTATGTATGTATGTAATCATAGCAGTTAAAATAAATACAATAGCTGCTTTAACTTTTTAATTCAATTTAAATTTCACCTTTGAGCTAAGATGTTTTTAACTGCTGTGGCTTGTATTCTTGATTGTGGCTTTTGAATATTTGCTAAAATGTCTTTAACCAGTTCCCAATCACCATACAGATTTTTAGTTTAAATTCTTGCTCCCAGCTGATTTGACCCACAATTGTTTTCAGTCTTGTCAAATTGGTACTTTTAAAGCATTTATACCATTTGGACAATCTCCTTTGGATGAAAATTTTCTGAGATAAGAAATTGAAATGTCTAAATTATAGATAAATGACATGTTTTAATACTGGAAGTGAGACTACCACCTTAATCACTCAGACTGATGTTCTCCATGCTAATACAGCTTTTCCCTCCTACACATAGGAATCAGTGCTTCGAGTCATCCAGTTATCTAGTGTGATTTGCATCTAGTCAGCATCTACTAGTACTCCATTTAGTTCTTTATCTGCTACAATATTGCTCTATAAGCATTAGAGGTCACTTGAGTGACCTCTAATGTTGTCAATGATTAGGAAACAGAAAGACATTGAGTCAACCTTCTCGATACAAAAACTTATGGACTCAAGATAGACATTGGATTTATGACATACCATAACCTGCCTGACATCTGACTCCCCAGGTACCTCTCCACTTTTACCTGCTACACCCCCTCTACTCCCAGCCTGTCTCTCACTCCCTGAAACCTCAATTTACATTTTCACTGACTGGCTTTCTTGCCTGCATACCAGCCTCTGGCTTCTTTACTATTCATTCCATCCAGGAAGAGCACACACACAAATTGCAGATGCTTCCTCAACCCGACGAAGGGGTTTTAAACCCCAAAGCTTGCCAAGATATATTTCTCCAATTATTCATTTGATCTAATAAAAGATATCGCATCTACTCAAAGAACCTTTCCTGCCTGTTCCTTAGGCCAACACGGCTACAACCAGAAACCCACTTAACATATACAAGTGACATGAATTTTGCTTTCAACAGTTTGAGGTGCACTTTCACAGAAGCCCCTGAACCTAATCTCCTTGAAACTTGGCAGGCTTCCTGCCCTCTGAAGGGGCAAGCATTCATCCAAATTTGCAAAAAAAATAGACAAAGTTATAGGTATTTTAGTGATTTACCATTATAGTCTTTGGCCGAATCACCCAACTGGCTGATCTGGTGGCTGAATCTCCGAATCTGATTTGGCTGAATTGAATCAGAACAATGACTCAAATCACCAAATTGAAACACTGTCCCCCCCGAATCAGCCAAATCTGAATCCAAATTGAATACTTGCTGCTTTGCACAGGCCTATTAGGCACCTGGTATTGTACTGTCTCTTATCATTCCCTTCCATGCCCTCCTTCTTGACAGACCTTCCCATACCATCTCCTGGATGGAATGCTTGCCAAGTTCTCTTGGAAGAGAGGCCCCAACACCAATGTAGTTATTGTGAAGAGATTGCCTAAACAGGCTGGCACTTTCTTCAAAGATCCCTGCAATTTGAGGTAAGGCGACCTTATAGCCTTACTTCCTCTCCCATCATGCAAAGCATCCTTCCTAAAAATCCTAGGCATTCCTCAAAGAACTACATGCTTGGTCTTAAAATAATTAGCTTTAAAATAGGAAAAAGTTCCATCCAGTCCTTCCCTTAATGGGACAGAATGCTATGTGAAGCAACTATGAAAATTGAAGATGTTCACTGGAGGCAGTGAATTGTAGTCTCTTGAAACAAACCAACAAAAGAGGGTAAATTTTAACACCTAGAAATTGTTATGCATTCCATGCCTTTTTCTTTACTGTACCTTTTGGTGTTGCTATAGATGCATCAATCTCTTCTTGTTTAGTCACTGATAATGGGCTGATGAGGCATGTGTTACCAGGTCTTGAACAGCTTATTTTTACCAATTTAATAGTGTGAGAAAGCAAATAGTTGTATTGTCTTGTACATGAGGACTAGTTTCTGAAAAAGTAAAAGTATTTGGTAGTCAACCCAAATAATGCAAATTGTTTGACTGTTATAAAGAAATGTGACTTTCTTTAACCTAGGGAGCAATTAAAATGTGTAGTACTAATTAGCAGATTGAGACAATGCTCACCTGAAACAAGTAACAGTCCTTTACCCCATATATTTTCACTTTTGTTAGGCTGTAGAGAACATGAGTTTCATAAATATTTGGTGTAGTCTTAATGCAAGTTTGGCTTGCAGTGCTGTGCATTTGTATTAAATATACGCAGGTGCCTAGCACTTCTCAAAGACAAGAAATTTATTTAGATTTTTTAAGCTGTAGGTACTTTACAGTAATTAAAATATACAAATTACAAGGAATAACCTCTACAAAATACATGTTAAGAAAATAGAAATTGGATCATTCAAACAATATTACAATAACATTGCCCACTCTCAGCTTACATACCCTTAATCTCTCTCTCTCAGCAAAAAAAAAAAAAAAAAAAAAAAAAAAAAAAAAAGGGAAAAAAAAAAAAAAAAAAAAAAAAAAAAAAATGAGGAAATGAAATGAAATGAAATGAAAGAAAGCATTAGGTGTCTTGTTGGTTGTGTGCTGTTGGGTTTTTTTTAGCATGCCCTGAAGCTTTATACAGTCCCTTGTCAGACAACATGAGGGAAATAAGTTTTGTAGCTTAAGAACCTGCAGACTTGTCTTGACATGTGACCTTCGTCTTTGCCACCAACGTGGACCGCTGCTGAGGTGTTGCTTCAGAAATCCTGGTCTCAGACCATTTAGTAATTCCTGTAATTTCTTTTTCCAAAGGAAGAAGCTTTAAAGGAAGTTTACAGGTAACCAGTACAGGCTACAGGACACTAGTGTCATTAGCTCTGCATGACAGACAGCTTGACATTAAATATAACTTAGTATCTGTATAGACAGGCTCTCTCATGTTTAAAATTGTGCCAATTAATTATTATTATTAAATTTATGCTTCATGTTGAAACAGAGTGCGGGCTGTGATATCTGTAGTTTACAGGTGAGCTGTAATAGGTAGAGTTAGAAGCTAAAACACAGTCCTGCTGTGCAATAGCAGAGAGGCTGAACAGCACAAATTCCAGACTGGTTGAGTCCCATTCAAAGTATCTGGAGATGCTGGGGCACTTTGGGCTGGATGCAGCAAATGATACATCAAGGCTTCTTCTCTAACTTCTATAATGTTGATATTTAAGTAAATGTAGAGATGTGGAGGTTTTAATTCTGGGGCTGCTAGAAAGTGCACTAGACACTTCTAATGTTTTCCAGCATATCTAAACTGAGTGAATTAACTGTCCTACCCGTGTGCCCACTGAGAAGCAACATGGAAAGGAACCAGACACAGCAAAGAAAAGATGGCACTTCTACCTTTAAGGTGCTACAGGAGTCCTGCCAGCCAAAGCTTTTCAGGAAGTGCACTGAATCAAGGAAGGTTGACTAGCACTAGCACAAGCCATCAGTTCTCATTTTCCCTCTTCCCTGCAAATCCCTCCAGACAGGCTTGAATGAAGGCTGATAATGCTAGAGGCTAAAGTGACTGGTATAAGGAACAGAAATAGGAGATATTGATGAGGGCACTGAAATTGAAACTACAGAGAAAATATGATATTTTCTTCAATGATACTGTAATATAAGGATAACATATTCCACAGGATGACAAAGTGTATCAAAGTCCAAATAAATATTGTAGGACAAGCGGGGGGCACCTCTGTCACTTCATTTGCAGATATTTCTTGCAAGACCATTCCTGTCTCTTTAATTTTTAGGAGATAGCAGGTTGGGGCTAGATTCACAAGGGGCTCAGACTTTGCAGGTTCAGCATTCCAATACTACATTCTAGGTACCCTGCCACTAGGTGGAATCCACAATCCCCAGGTAAGCACCAAGGCTTTCCTATGCATTGCATGGGGAGAGTTCGGCATCTAAGAAGGGCTGAGCAGCCAGCACATTGAGTAGGGAATTGCCTATGGGAGTCAGTAGGAAACACATTGAGGTATGGGCCTAAGACCCTCAAGAAATGTAGGCACTTAACTAATGGCCAGAAAGAGAGGCCCATGTCCCCTTGGGTTTCATAGCCATGAGCCTCTCCTGGAGTTAGGTACCTCAGGTAGGATCCTTTGTAATCTTGGTCCCCTTCCTCTAAGGAATGTGCCCTAAACACCAGGCTATGGAGTACCTTTTTCTCCCTGAACCAATAGATTTTTCAATTATTTTGATACAAAGTGGAACAACTTTCGTAGATGAGATCATGGAGGAACCACCTCAGAATAGCTCATAGCTCAGTGGTTAGGACACAGTCCTGGGAGGTGGGAAATCTGGTCTCAGTTGCCCACTCCAAACCAGCCAGAGGAAGGATATGGATCTAGATCTTCCAAGTGAATATTCAGACCACTAGATTACTGAATAAAAAGAAGAATATCACCTCTTTCTCCTCATCCTTAATGGATTAGGGCCCAGTGGTAAGATATGTGGAGGAAACACTTTTTGAACTCTTTTGAGACTTAGGAGGGCTCTATGGCATTAGGGCTTGGGTAATTCTGTTTATTCCCAATGATAGAAATTCAGTAGATTTTACCAATGGAAACATAAGTACCTATACAGGCTATAGGATTAGGTGGCAGCTAACTGGCAGTTTATAATGCTGATGACCCCTAAGCCTCCCCCCTTCCCCCTTATGAATAAAGCCAAGAGACAAACTGATTTTTATGGCTATGGTTTCCTGTTTCTCAGGAAAACAGGCACGTTGTGGAAAGACGATAGGTTTAACTCTGAATATACTCCTATTAAACGTGACTTATTACTGTAACTCGTGCTACAGCAGGTGGTTCTGCAAGAGATCAAACATCTGTTATAAATTACATTACTACTAGCATGTGATAATCTTTGTAATCTGGATTCCTCCCCTTCAAAGAGATAATGATTGTTTATCATCAGATGAAGCTTTATCAAAGAACTTTTATTACTCAGACTTTGATATCTACTGTATCTTCTCTGTTTTCTTCTTTGAATTGAATTGAATTGAATGTGTTTGCCTGGAGCTTACATTGGTTTACGCATTGGAATATTTTTATTCTAGCACTGCATTTATTCTTTGGAATGCTTGCCTGAATACTTAACATTTCTTGCTAAGAACAGATTTGCTACTTGTAAAACAATGGCTAAAATTCTTACATTTAAATTGTGACTTTCTCTCCCACTTCAGGTTTTGAAACATAAATATTGTAAATATCTGATTTTACCTTTTTTCCATTGATCATTTTATTTCTCAAGAGTCTAACTGGCATTTGATGACTTTGCAACCCTTTTCTAATTAATGTAATATTTAATACTATAAAATACTAAACGTTTATTCATACACTGCTTTATAATATCAAAGCACTATATGATAAACTAATCAATCAGAAAGTTAAAAAATCCTGTAGAACAGGGACTTGTAAGTACCCTTGGCACTGAAAGGGCTAATAGAATAAACACAAATTAACAAACATCAAACTGATGCACAGTGCAATTGTTGGTGCTTTAGTGTAACCAAATCACACTAAGGACTTCAGACAACAAAAATGCTTCAGGTATGGAAATGTCGACTCAGGTTTATTTGGCTTTTGCTTCTATAGGGTCTACGTCTATGTCCAGGTCTGTCAGACAACAGTAGAATATCATCTGAACATACTTTGTTATCATAGCTGCAAAATTAGAAGAAAAAGCATAGATGAGACAAAATAATAACTGAATGTTGATTTCCTAGAAATTTAGCTATCCAAGGTTTTCAAAACTACAAATGCATAAGCCTGATTGATGAGTGCAGATGGGCAAACCCACTGGGTGCATCTACATGAGAAATTAATGTGACACAATAAATTCTGGAGCAGTTTGAGCCACAGTCAGCTGCTCCTGGGTGCAGTGTTTACACACGCACCTGGGACAGCAGGAGTTTAAACTGGGGTGGAACAGCCCTGGGCTGGCAACAGGCTCAGGGAGCCAGCCCTGGGCTCCGGATGGTGGTGCCAGGTTGGGGAGGGGCAGGCTAGGACATGAGAGTGCTAAAGTGCAGAACTGGGTGGCAGGCAGCCCCCATGCTTTAGCACCCTCATGCCCCAGTCATCCCTGGTCACCATCTACATGTGCATTTCATTGCACTTAACTCCGCTGTAAGATGGTTCCATCCCTGATAGTACTCTGTCCTACGATACTATCTACAGCAGTTAGTTAATTTACTGCATCCTAATACAGGTGCATGTGTAGATAATGATGCTTTACTGCAGAGCTAATTAGTCAAGTGCACATGTAGATGCACCTACAGAGACATAAACAGCCAAAGTGGGGTTTTTGTTTTTACTTTCTGATTAACCCTTTACTGAAATTTTTAAAAAATGGTCCAAATAGAACAATCTCACAGGACTGGGCAGAGCTATGACAAACTCCCTAGGCTAATCCTTGGTTTATAATTTCATCATTTATAATTTCATAATTTAGGTAAACATGTGGCTTTCTCTGACTCAGATTCTACAGAAACATCCAGGAAGTGAAGCAATACAGTGGTGTAATACCGTCTGTCTTCTAGGATACCAAACTGCATGAGTTTAGTCTTAATAGTCCTAGGCATTTTACTGAGCCAAAATCAATTATTTTCCCAAACTGACCTATGACAAAAATATTACATGATGTGACACATGGATATATCTAAATGAAGGAAAAATGTGTATAGTTGTGTGTGGTTTCTGGTTACTTCATTTTCTAAAAAAATACATCTCAGCATAACTTCATAACCCTGTACATTTAAGGGGAAAAGATTTTAGGAAAAACATGGAAGAAATCTCTCTCTCTCTCTCTTGTTTTCATCCAGTCTTCTGAGATCATAGGCCCACAGCTACAAAGTATTCCATAATAAAGAAACGTCTATATTACCCCACAATGTGCCTCAAAATCTAGTAGGAGAAACAAAGGGGCTATCAATGCCAATACACTTATGTGCTTACCAGATAGCCTTCGAAGAAATCTTGGTCTCTTTTCAGGTGGGAGATAAAGTCCCACATAATATACAGGAATTCCAGAGAGGGCTATCCCAATTCCAATAAGGGAATTAACTGTATCACTGTAGAGAGGAACCATGATCAGGAAAATGGTGCATAGACAATACACTATAGGAAAGAAGAGGCTGAGCTGCAAATTAAAACAGAAAAATCAATGTAAATAAAAATAAGACAATGGAAAATGTATTTGTATAATATTTTACATTACGCCACTTGGCTAGCTGCTTGCTATTAGGGCTGGGCAAAATTTTGACTGCCGTTTCGTTTTGGCGGTATTTCGAGAGTTTTGACACTCGGAACTCTGAATCTGAAATGAAAAGGGAGACATGTCAAACTGTTTGAAACGAAATGAAACAACTCGAAACATTTCAAAGATGTTTCAGCATTTCAAAGGTGTTTCAAAGCTGGGCTTGCAGAGAGAAAGTAAGGAGAGGAAGTGGGGAAAGCGGGCAACAGACTGACATCTGTAGCTGGCCAGTGTTTGCCAACTGTCCTGAGGTCCCTTCCAATCCCAGTGCTCTGGGGGAGGGACCTAAAAAGTTTAAACACAGCATATAAACCTGTGAATGCCTAAGATGTCAGCCTTTGTCAGCCTGTCTCTCGCCAGAGAGCAGCATCTGAAAGGCACCAACTCTGACTGCTTTCTAGCTGCTACTGTTTAGCTAGGGAGTATGTCTTCTACTTGCAAAGGATTGGATAGGATACAGCTTACTCTGACAGCTTAGCTATACTAGCCTAACTTCAATACTAATATTGTTATCACTATATCATTTCTTTTTTTCCCCCTATATCCATTACTCTGAAATTCTTCTTTCTTTTTTTTTTTTAACCTGAAGGAAAAGAAATCTGCATTTTGCCTGACAGTGTGATCGCTGGGCACTGTTCAGGAAAGCACAGCACAGATTAGATAGACTGCACACACAGACACCTACATATACACACACTACACACAGTCACAGACCTTTTCTAGCACAGGAAAACATGAAGCATGCTGGAAAGGCCAGTGCTGCCAAGTCTGGAAGGGGAGCAAGAGGGAGCAGAGGGAGAGGTGTCAGTTCCCTGCTGCCCAAGCTGAGATGCAGCCTCTTTTCAACCAGCCATGTGGCTTCTGCTGGTACTGGGAGGAAAGGGGGTTGCAGCAGTGCCTGCAGCTGCACCCCCTCTGACACCAGCTGTGATAATAAACTCCAGCACCAGCAGCATGACAACAAGCAGCAGAGTCTCCTCCACCCCAACTGCAGGTCCCATCATGAGCCTTCCACTCCCAGTCTTAGATGAGCTCAAACTTTAAGTAGGGGACATCATCTTGATAGCACAAGAAATTCTGGGGCAGGAGGGGGAAGCAGAGTTTGTGCTCCACACCCCTCAACGTTCCCCTAGAGCCAAGTCCCCTTCCCTGGAAGGCACTGCAGAGAAGGCTGTGGGGGCAGCTGGCTCAGCTGCTCCTGTTGTCATGCCTCTGCCTGTTGAGGAGGGGGATAAGGCGGGAGCCCCTCTGCACCCCAGAAGTGAGGGGGTAGTGTGGTCTAGGATCATTTTGAGGTGGCAGATGATCCCACATATGCTACCTGCCTGCACTGCCAAGCCAAAACCAGCCAGGGCAAGGGAACAAAAGGCATGAGCACCACAGGGATGCTGATGCATCTCCACAGACACCACCCCCTTGGCTTGCTCCTCCTCAGCCTGGCACCAGTGGAAGCATGCCCAAAAAGAAGTCCCCGTCTTTCTTGAAAGCCCCCATATCCCCGAAGCAGAGGCAGGCCACCCTGGAACAGTGGGGGAAAGGCGAGCACACAGGAGAGTATGTTTCCAAGGCAAGCGAGGTCACCCAGAGCATTGGGGAGATGCTTACTGTAGATGGCCAGCCCTTTTCCTTTGTTGAGCGGCCAGGGTTCAGGCAGTTCATGGCGCTTGTGGCCCCATCAGGATGGTGGTGCCCTCCCTGTATGAGGCATGCAGGGACTACTTGAGGGAGGAGCTGTAAAAGGCAGGTCTGCAGGTGGCCTTACACTTCACCTCAGACATCTGGAGCAGCCAGGGTGGAGATCATGCCTACCTCTCCCTCATAGGGCACTGGTGTAGCCAGTCAGGCTGTCAGTGGGCTCTTCTTCAAGCCAAGGTGATTGGTGAGTCCCACACGGCAACCGATATCAGGGGGACCATGAACCACTTGGTGCAGGGGTGGCTATTTGGGCAGGGCAAACTCATCCATGGGTTCATGGTCACCGACAATGGGGCCAATATGGTCAAGATGGTCTGAGATGTCAACTTTTTTGCCATCTGATGTGTGGCATATAAGTTCCACCTCCTTGTCAGGGACACCTTGGAGGGGGACAGGGCTGCCAGTGATGGCACCAGCACCGCCAGCAAGCTCATTTACAAATGCAGGAAGGTGGCAGGCTACTTCCACTGGAGCATCAAGGGGGGTATGATTCTGTGGGAGAAACAGGCACAGCTGAACATCCCACAGCGCAAAATCATGTACGATGTGGAGACTCAGTGGAACTCCATATTCCTGATGCTTAAGAGGCAAGTGGAGCAACAGAAGGCCATCCATGAGATGGCCTTGCTCAGGGAGATTGGGCTCAGTGCCCCCCTTAGAACAGAGCTGAGTAGGATACCATCTCCCCAATCTTGCTGGTCCTGAAGCCCTTCTTTGGGGCCATCAAGACCCTCAGCACTGCCGATACCCTTCTTAGCCAGGTGATCCCTGTACTGAGGGAACTTCAAAAATCAAATGGAGAACTTCCAGGGGATCAATGTTCCTGGCTGGGGCATGCCACTGTCACCAGAAGTGCAGGAACTGGTGAGGTGGCTGAAGGAGGACATCAGGAAACAGCTTGATCCCTTGCGCTCCACTATGGTCCACATGCTGACTGCCATGTGTGACCCGAGGGTGAAGGGGAACGTATGCAGCAGCAAAACCCTGGATCACTGGATGGAGGTGCTGGTGAACAGAGTCAGGGAGGCAGAAGGGTGGAGGTAGAGAGATGTGGAAAAGGGGGATCCACTGTCCCATGCCAGCATGCCATCCACCAGCTAGTCTCCTTCTCCACCACAGCTGCTGCCAATGTGGGCCAAGGCCATGACATCCATGGTGGGGTCCAGAGGCACCAGACCCCACCATCAACCAGGTAGCACTCAGGCCTTGGTGGCTGCCTATCTTGCCGAGGAGGTGGAGCCACTGCTGTGCGACCCCTTGGTCTACTGGGCAACCCGCAGCCAGAATTGGTAGGATCTGGCTATGGTTGCCTGGAAACACCTGTCCTGTCCACCGATCGGCGTTCCAAGTGAGAGGCTGTTCAGCATTGCTGGTGAAGTTGTGACACCCCACCGCACCTCTTTGGATCCTGGTTTGGTGGAGCAGCTGGTGTTCCTCAAGGCGAACCTTCCACTGCTGGGGTTCCCCAAGCTCCAGGTGCAGACAGAGTGAGTGACACCCTCCTCACTCCATCCATACCTATTTCCTTTTGGTTCCTGGTTCCCAAACCATTTAATGCCCCATTCTCAGAGCTGGAGGTAGCACTCACTGCATCACCAACCAGCAGGAGAAGAACATGACCCTGCTGAGTTCCCATGTCAGGATGAACTTGGAGGTACAGACTGGGGCTATGGGGAAGGAGGAGGCCCCAGATCCTGGGCATGACCTAAAACTGCACCTTGCCAGGGTAGGGAGACCTGGTGGGACTGACAGTGGTGTGGCAGCCCTCAGGAAATGCCAGAACTTAGGACTTTCCTGGTGAAAGGTGGGTAGGAGGTGCCTATAACCTCCAGCCACTGCACGCTCATACAGTCCTGGCTGGGGAAAGCCCAGACCCCTAAGCTCTTTGAGAGGCCTGAGGCTTGCTGGTTGCAGTGGAGTTGTGAGGCTCCAGGTGGGCTTAGCTTAGCTGCCTGGGATGCCATCTGTGAGGCATGGGCCACAGGTATGGAGCTGTGGAATCATACACCAGGCAGACATTGGAACTATGACACAATACAACCTGCCGGACATCTGAATCCTCAGGTAGCTCTCCACTTTTACTTGCTACATCCCCCTTCCCCCCTGCCCCAGCCTGTCTCTCACCCCCTGATGCCTCCATTTCCATTGTCACTGACTGGCTTTCTTGCCTGCATTGCATGCCAGCCTCTGGCTTCTTTACTATTCCTTCCATCCAGGAAGAGCACACACACCAACTGCAGGTGCTTCCTCAGCCTGATGAAGGGTTTTCAACCTGAACGCTTGCTAAGATATATTTCTCCAACTGTTCAGTTGATCTAATAAAAGATATCAGATTGACCCAAAGAACCTTGTCTGCCATGTCCTTAGACCAACACGGCTGCTACCTACACCCCTAGCACCTGTCTCTGGTCAGCTGACCAGAAGGAGGCAGGGCCCTGGGAACATTTAAGCCCCAGGTCTGTGGCTGGCAGGAGGAGTTTTCTGGCAGCTGCTGGAGAACAAGCTACTGCAGAAATGGGAAGAGAGGCTCTGTGACAGTTTGGCTGCCTGAGATGCTAGTGCTACTGTGCTGCTTACTTGTTGTTATTTAAAGTGGTGAACCAGACTGAGGCTGTAGGGAGGAGGAGACCTCATTGGGGCACACTACCATGTTATGTAGAGGCCCCAGCACCAGTGAGGGTGCAGCGACAGGGGCATTGAGAGCCCAGGGACAATAGAAGGTAGAGTGAGTCAGACCTTATTACAGGGACAATATCAATATACTATCTATGAGGCATGGGGCATGGTAAGGGATGGTTGGAGCCACACATCTAGCCCATAAGGCTTAGGGTGTCCCCTTGAGGCACCTACTTATAGTGGGTCCCAGCAAGGGGCCCAAGAACCTATAGGGTTTAGTGGGGTCCATTAGGACCATGACTGATCTGAAGCTGAAGGGCATCCTCCCTATATATTATCTTTTTCAACAAGACATGGTGGCAGGTGAGAAGAGAAGGCACCCACAGGGTGGAGCTGGCACTGGCACAGGGACCTAGGGGTTTCATGGCTCCCACTCCGCCTTAACACATACACAAAGTCACACGTCACAAGTTTTGCTTGTCAGCACCTTGAGGTGTAGTTTCCCAGAAACCCCTGCATCTATCTCCTTGAAACTTGGCAGGCTTCTTGCCCTCAGAAGGGGCTACCATTCCTGTGATGTTCATCAGAATCAGGCAAGAAATGACAAAGTTATAGGCATTTTAGTAATTCCCTATTATAGCCTATGACTGGAACACTGAAACAGCATCGAAACTTGAAACAGTTTTGACCGAAACAAAACAAAACAGTGATTCAAAACACCAAAATGAATCGCTGTCCCATCAAAATGCTAAATCCAAAACCGAAACGAAACACAGGCATTTCACACAGCCCTACTTTTTATGTGAAGCACTCCTCAGGATCTACAGAAAATGTATGTCATTACTTTTTAGATGGTGCACACAGTATTAATATACCTGTTAGGCACCTCCCCTTGAATGGAAGATTGCATTTGGATGAAGAGAAGTAAACTGCAAAAGGAGAGCCAGAATGTGTCTGAGGCATGATTGCTGGGCATTGATGATGTGTAGGGGGTGCATGCTGGTGACCGTGCATCCCCTGAGATTGGTGGTGCACCCCCTGTGAAAAGCACCACTGATGCTGCTGGCGGTGCCTGTGGGCAGTTGCTGTTTACCACTGCCTCCCCCACCGCCGACACCACTGGCGGCATCTGTGGGCGGTTCCTGATCCCCGCTGGCTGCTCACCACTCCCCACCCCGCTGCTGACGCCGCCATGGCTGCCTGTGGGAACTCCCCGCACCCCGTTACCATGCCCCACCACTGACACTGGTGCCGCTGCCTGTGGGCAGTTGCTGTGCCAACCCCAGCCTCCAGGGGCATGTGATGTTCATGTTGCTGGGGGCTCTGAATTTCATAAACTCTATGAGCTCTTAGCAAAAAGTCAGAATATTCCTGCAGTCCTATGCAAATATGTGACTGTGTACATGAAAAAGATTTTTTTTATGGATGAAAAATGAACTTATAAAGGAACTTCTTGACACATCCATAGTAGCAACACTTTAATTTATACATATATAACCATATACATTAGCTAGAAAATGTGATTTTCTATTTGTACTTACTTTAATAGGCCTCGGCCTATCAGGCTGAGTGTATCTCAGGTATATTAATCCTGCAATAGAGAGCCCAACAAATAGCCAATAGTTGAAGCAGTAGTAATTAATAAGGAGAAAGACATCCTCCACAAGAAGGTAAAGCAGAGTCATTAAGCCCTAGGGACAAAGAAAACAAAGGCCTTTTTATGTAAGCACAAAGAAAGAAAAAACAATTCTTATAAAACATACAGGTTCAGGCAGAGATGTAACTGTGCTAGGGAAGGTCCTCCTTCTTCTTCCCCTTGTACTTCTTTGTAGGGCTCTGGCTCTGGAGGCTCCAGCAATGAGCAGTATGGAGGAGCCCCAGCTGAAGTTCATTGCTCTTGAGAGGACATATCACCTCAACTTGTTTCCATGTTGTACAGGCAAAAAACTCCAGTTTTTAGCAGTAAAGAATGAGGTGTCATCTCCCCCCACTCCCACTGCAACACTGGAGCAGCAGCAAACTGTAATGCTGCCCAGCAAAACAATATTCCTTACAACACTGTTCACTCCTGACATGTTCTTATGTGGCTGGTAAGTGAAGGGAGAGCAGGGGTTGGGAGGGGGAGGTGGGCATGAGAGGATGAAGTGCCCCCACCCTATTCTGGTGCTCTTCCCCACCTCAGCCAGGATTCTGGGGCTCATGCCCCATTTGTCACCCACCCTGTACTAAGGGCCTAATTTTCAGTAGTATTTGGCTGGATTACATAAACCCATATAAAGACTTGGAAAACCTGCTCTTCATACTTTCATGCCTTTAAAACCTTTTCTTTCCTAACCCAGATTTCTTAATACTAGACTAATTAACATTGCCATATTTACCCAAATCCAAGAAAACCTCAAATTTAAGATGACCCCCCCCAATAATTAGATGCTAGACATGGACAATTATAAGTGTGTTATATTTTTCCATGACTAGAATCTAATTGTTGGAGGATCACCTTAAATTCATCCTCCTAAAACAGTGATGCAGGCAAAGGGCTAGACTCCTAACCCTTGCCTCCCGTCTGCCCCCATGTCTCTTGTTCCGCTGTTCCTGTGCCTTCCCCCCCGCCCGATGTCTGCCCTCCCCCCTTCTCTTACCTATTGGGCAGCTCTGGCTCTATCTCCAAGGCAGTCAGCAGCAGTGGCCACCCTGGCCCCAGCTCTGGCCCACCCCAGACAGGCAGAAGCATGGCAGCAGATCTGGGCCTGACCAGGTTGGGGCAGGACCGGAGCTGGAGCTGAAGGTAAGCAGCAAGGGGAAATGGCAGGAAAACTACATTGTCTCTGCCATGCTTCCCTCTCAAGCCACACACTGGGGGTCTCCCCAACACGCCCCCCGCATGCCCACCACCCAGTCTCCCTCCACTACACACCACCTTCCCAGCCACACAAGCCACCCTGGCCTGGGGCAGGTGGAGGCTTAGTTCTGGCTTTAGCCCCAAGCTGAAACCAGAGCTTTGCTGCTGCTTGCCCTGGACCAGTACTTGAATCTAAGATGAGGTTTTATTTCCCCCCATAGTGAGTAGGGAAAAAACCTTGCCTTGGATTCAGGTAAATACAGTAAGTCTCACAAAGTGGGGACATTCCTCTGAAAAGTAACTAGTTTAAAAATTGATTCAAAAAAGTTAGACAGTGTCACTTGCATTTCAGAGGTTGCCTGTTCAAAATGACAATGTAACTCAGGGGCAGACAATTATTTCTGGTGGAGGGCTGCTTACTGAGGTTAGGCAAGCTGTCGAGGGCCACATGGGTAGTTCCACCCCTTGACAGGTGCCCTACCCCCTGGTCGCCATCTTGTGATCAGAAGCCCTACCCCCTAACCCTTGATCTTTGCCACCAGAAAGCCCTCCCCTTATCCCCAGAAATACTCCTGTCAGCAAGGGCTTTTGCCATCTCAGAACCAGAAAAATACCAAATTATATTTTAAAAATTGAATATCTACAACAGGAATTTTCAACCTTTTTAAACTAACATACCCTGTCTGGTGGCAGCAGTCAGTCAGCCGGGGCAGGGTGGTGCTTGCATGTGATGGGCACTGCTGCCACCCCACCACCCACTGTCCTGTGTTGCCACCTCTGCACCCCATTTTTCCATGACCAGTCATACCTGAGGCTCCATGGGCTGCTGATGGGCCTTGCATCTGGCCAATTGCATGCAGCCTGTCAGCAGCCTGCAGAGCCACAGGTGTGACCGGCCATGGGAAAGTGATGCACGGTGGCAGCACAGGGTGGTGGGCAGTGGTGCAGGTTGATAGGT